TTTCGCGGGGTCTGCGGGATCTAAGAGAGAAATACTGGTAATCCGGGTATTTTCCATCGGAATATTTTTCCATATTNTCTTCAATATCAATAGGGTGTATGAAATTTAAAGTGGTTACTTCAAGGAAGGCGCATCTTGAAGCCACTGGCCTATTTTTTTAGATATCTCTTGATCTTCCTCCCCCGGGGGCGGGGTGACTCCCATAGAACGGGGGTGCTCGTTGTACCCTTAAGGGGTTAAAATGCGGTTTTGGTGACTTCTTACTGTGGTCAGCCTCAGAGGGTCCACAGCGGGAGCCTTTGCGACAGGACACAATGTGTTGTATTAAAATTGGTACCTCTTAGGGGTGAAAAACATTTCAAGCAACGCCCCCAAAAAGGATCTTGGTACTTCTTAGGAATTTTTTTGTTCAAAATTTCCCACGAGCATCCCCGTCCTTTCTTTATGGAAATTCCCCCCCCCCCCCCCGGCTTCCTTCCTCTCAACCCTCCTTATTTTCCGTTGATAGCTCCTCCTTTGGTGGTTTCCTACCATAGAAGACTATTTTTAGCTTTCTTCAAATTGAAAGCAATGCTGTACATCAAAAACTGACTTAAAATACCGTATGGTAACTCCTTAAAATGCTCTACATTACACGTTTAAATAGTTAAACCCTTTTGTTGCGGAATTTCAACACAAATTTATTCTTAATTTCTCAACAAGAGAATTGTTAGGAAAAATAATTCTATAAGCAAAGAGCTTTTCTATCAGCTAGTAATTCAAACCAACACAAAAATAAACGTTTGAAATTTATTTACAATCGTAGCAAAAATAAATTATGTGCAAATTTTCTACCCGGACGAAAATCTCAATAAGAAAATATCAGCGACCGTTTATGCTGTTGCGTCGCCACTCCGTTGTCTTTGATAAATTGTTGAATAACAGTAAACTTTTGTACATCATACTTTGGTTTTCGGCTTTCCTCTTCCCTCTGCCTAAAATATTTATTGCATTATTCAAGAAAATGTCTCTAAGATGCCAAAAACAAAGCTCGTTAAACATGGGATTGTTGTTTTCAGCGTTTCATACACTGTTCCTGAGAAAGCATAAGAACAATGTCATTTCTTATCTCTCTGCAATCCTCTGCAGGTTCTCAATTAGTCAGGAGAACTAAAATAAAATTAGATTTTTGACTCTCTTTCTAGAAAAACCTCCACACTTTTATCAATAATATTCTCTAAAACGTGTAAATGTTAAGATGTCAGGTTGCATGAAGAAAGAAAAAAGGGGGTAATTCATTTTCCTTTTTCCTTTCTTCCTTTGAACACAGGCGGAGAGTCGGCGGCTTACATGCTAGTTGTCCGTCAAAAGTCACTTAAAAACTAGCTTATTTTAAGGCTTTACCTCTCTGAAATGCTTCATAAATGTTTGTATAGCATAATGTACAAAAGCCTACCGAGATTGGTCAAGCATAAATAAACCAAAATACATAAACCAAGATAATGTCAAAAATGAATTCAAAACTATATCGAGAGTCACAACGGCGTGGCACGTTATTAGTACTAAGACTCAAAGGAGGAAAATGTTTCTTTGTCAAGATGTCGTTTAGTCGATCTTATACGAGGAATCTTTTGTTTTAAAGAATCCCCCTCTGTGGGCGATGATAACTAATTGCGGGGTAAAAGAGTAATTTGTTTTGAGTCCAATTCCTTTCGTTAAGTGCTAAACGAAAAGAAAAATAATCGAAATATTGTTTTCTTCCCTATGAAATTCTCTATTGCTCATATGAGGAGAAGCTCCATGACCATGACAAATAGCAGCAAGTTCTGGAGAGAAGAAAAAGAGAGAGAAAAAATGGCACGCAATACTGTTCGAGGCTACGTGCTTGTTTACGATTCTTTTCCTATACGGGGCTTACAGGAAGAGGAAACATAATAGATGAAATACAATATTAAAATATCAACGTGGCCCGGCCATAGGCTCAGATGAAATAACTTCAAATACTTCACTTAACCGATTACAGTAAGCCTCAAAAGTAATTAAGACATCAAAAATTTCGAAAATGACCTATCATCACACTGTAGGAAAACCATTTTGGCTCCCTTGAGTCTTCGTGGCGGCTAAGCGGAAAGTGTTCTATTTTGCGCATGCGCAAAAGCGTTAGAATAAGACCGTCACATATCGCAACTGCTGAAGAATTATCCTATGGATAAAGGATCAATCTAAACCAAGCTTATAATGCTGGAATATACTTCTTAATCTTTCCAGTGGAAATCTAAAATTATTCGTTTCGTGAAGTAGCTTATTTACAGTGAATTTCTTTATATATACTTCTCTGATGAGGTAATTCTCCAATTAAAGCAACTTGACAGTTATTAAATCTGTTCCATTGCAAGAAAAGAGAAAACATATTTATCAATGATATTACTTTAACCGAAGGCAGCGAGAAGGAGCCTTAAAATGTTCCCGCGAGCCTTAAATTTAAAAGACGTACCCGCGAAGTTTGTATTTGATTGATACGGTGATTTTACGGCTGTCTAGCTCGCATGTCAACAACTGTTATTTTAACACCTACCTGACAATCAATAAAGTTACCTGTAGGCTACATTTGGGATTGGTGAGCGAGCATAATTTGGCAACCTTCATTCACATGATCCATGACTCTCTGTTTTAAATCACAGACTTGCTGTTTGAGCGCGTTCGCAACAGCATTCAATTCAATATTCCTCTCTTTCAGTTCTTTAACTCTTGTTTCCAACCTCGCTTCACGCTCCAGCTTTCTTTTCCGGCACTTAGACGAGGCGATTCTGTTCCTCTGCTTTTTTCTTTCGCGTTTAACGATCTCTTGGACTTCCAGATCAATAGGTTGTAAAGCTCCGTGTTCCGAAACCATCTGTGCTTGATTTTCCAGTTTGTAACCAGACAATTCCGGTTTTTCCTGCGCGAGCGCGCTATTATACGACGCAAAAGCCCGCAGAGTCGCCGAGTTTTCCATATTAAAATCATGATAGGCAGAATACGGGGCATTTTCCGATGGATACGAGTATAAGGTCGTGTAACTCGGCGCAGTAGAGGTAGAATAAGGATAAATTGTACCTCCTTTTACCGTAGCGGAGTAGGCGCTTCCGTTGTTCGCAAAGAAATCGCTTGCCTCCACACGCGAAGTGTTTGAAGAATAAACAACCCCGTCCGCAGAAGACCGTAAAGTGGACGCAGGTACCGTCGCCAAAAACGATGCATTTCCTACCGTGGTATGCCCCAGAAATGGGTCCGCAGACTCCGGCGCATTGTCTGCTAAATCTATAAGGGAAGATTCTCTTGTGATCTGTCGATCGTGAAGGTCTTGCAACGCATCAGTGAATCCACGTGAATACGGTTCGGGATCGTGATCCGTGTGAACCGTTGCGTGAACGTTCGAGTTAAAGAGTGAGCTAGGGTTCGGTCCCGCCGTGACATTTCCCTGCAAAGACATGATCATTTTTTCCAGTTCGGGCGAACCCAGCTTAAGCAGACCCAGATCGGGCGAGCGGAGCTCTGAGGGCGTTGCATGCTTTTTTAAATCTCCAATTTTGGGATCCTCCGCCAAAGGTTGTAAATTCAAGTGCAAGGTCGACTTGTCGAAGAGATACGGCGAAATAATGTGCGATGAAATCCCTTCATCCTGATAAAAGGGTGTATCGCTCGCTTCCTCCATCTAAACTACTCTACGTCACGCTTTCCTTTCAACTCCTTCACATTGCGAGTTTGGTCCTGTCGCCCAAGGAAACTAACATGGATGGTTGGTTTTTGTTTGGCTTGTTCCACCCTCGGGCCGCCGGGGTAGAAATCGGCGGGAGGCAGTTTAACAAACGCCTCGTTCCTGACCAGTGAGTAATGCCATGCCAACGGATTGATGTCATGTTGAGACTCCATCTGGTCCCTTCCTCAGTTGTCATGGCGACAGTATACTTACCCCTGGTTGGTTGAAATTGATGTTTTGTGCGAAAGTCAATAGCACCACCTGATATTTGGTTATTATGTAATATGACCTAACTGAGACGCGGGAAAAAATCGCGGGTGGCAAGACGTGCGATTCACGCCTTGCCAAAAAGGGCGCGAATCTTAAAGCGGTTTTGCCACCGTTTCGGAATAAATGCGCCGTCGCACGCTTCATTGGTCACTCTACTTGTCTTGTGGTAGCATGTCGCGTACGCCATAAACATGATAAATGTTGTAAATTTTTAAGCCGCTGGAGATGCCCCTTGACATTTTAAACGTCAAGCTGTTTCTGATTAACCCGCCCGTGATTCCTCCTCCGTTCGGTCTGTATGTCAGTCTATGCGATTTAGTTTAAAAAATAATCGACGTTTTCTCTTTTGTTGTATACCCTTTGAAAATCAAGCCTCAGATTTTGTAATGGCGCCTTAGTTCAAAAAAGAAAAGGTTGGGCTTTCGTTGCCGCCTTTCTTAAAAAATCCGAGAACGTTAGAAAACTTTATATACATACCTACATATATATACTCAAAAATTCCAGTACTTTTTAAATTTCATTACTTTTTTACTTTTTCTAACCTTAATTGGCAAAGTGAGACTATTTTTGTTGCTGTTCGTCAATGGGGTCATGGCTAATAGGGATTGCTTTCTGGAAAGGAAATTTAACTCCTGTTTTTGGTTATAGGATTTATTTAAGACGTACTGAAATATGCTAGAAAATTACTGTCGGAGGCAAGATTTACGCTGATACAATGTAAACATATTGTTTTCTGTCTAAACTGATGATCTCTTAAATTTTGTTTTCAAATAGTGTTTCAACATCCGTAGAGAAACCGTCCTTAAAATTGATTCACCGACTTCTATTTTCCCTATGTCGTTTTTACTTAACTTTTGAAACTAATTAGTTTCTTTCGGAAGGTACCCAAAGCAATCTCAATGGGTCAATATGTGACTCAACAGGGAAATCGTGTCCACCATACTTAAACAATGGAGAATTTATTGGAAAAAAAAATTAGCGGTTTACTCGTCGTCAATCCAATTTTCTTTTTCTTTGGAGCATGATCTTATAGCTAAATGGAGACTTTTTTTAACTCTCTCAGTACACCTTTTATTCAAGATTCAGCTACTGATCAGTTTTTGCTCAGCTTTTTCATCTGTTGGACAATTTGGGAACTACCTATCACTAATTTGATTGAATAGAGTCGAAAACACTGAAAAACTTAACAGGTCAACAATTTCGTTTTAATTTCACGTAACTTTTATGTATCATTGAGGACCTACGTAGCGAGCGATTTTTAAAGAAAAGAAGAATTAAGTTGACAAATAAACACCGTTTACCTGTTTAATCGTAAATAAAGACACCGGTGTTTGTAGAGGTAAACGTATTTAGAAACTGCAACAACCCTTTTTTTTTTAATGATTTTAAACGTTCCTTAAAGGAATGACTTCTTACCGGTTAGATGTAAAAGGACATTCATGCAACTGTACAAAACAGCTAGGTAAATTATTTTATTTTTCCAGAATAATAATAATCGGGTTCTCAAAGTTTAACTGGTGTTTAATTATATTTTCCTTTTGGTGTAATTAAAAATGTTTTCTTTCTTTTTACAATTCCCATGACTCAGTCGACTTGGTTAATGAAACAAAGTGACTGGAAAAATAAACCTTCCCGTCTGTGATTTCGTTAGATTATTCCCTTAGTAAAGAGAATTGCTGTAATTAAGATGATTAGAAATGTAATGTGTATAGGCACATGTATGGCGAGAATTTTTAAAGTATTGATGGATACGATTCTAAGATCTTTTGTCTGACTCATGATGTAGGAAACTAACTACAATTTACAGGAATCAATTTTTCATAAGCAGCAATTCCCCAACAAGCCGACGTTATCGACGTTTATTTACTGGATTTAAACACTTTAATGGACAATTTTCCGGTTGACGACTTGTTTTCAAAACAACCAAATCTAACCTGTTATGTTTTAGATTTGGTGTTTTCTTGTGAGTAGTAGTTATCTTGACTACCGAATCGAGGATCAATAGGCCATTTCTGACCTCTGTGTCAAAACGAGTCTTCGGACGAAAACATTCATATGAAAATGGTTCCTGCTGCAGCTTAATTCATTTTCATGCAAATCAAACTCATTTCACATGAAAGCCTTTGCATGAGGACTCGTTTATAAACAGAGGCATAAGGTAACTCGGAAATAGCCTATTATTAGTTAGAGCCTACCATTCGTTGCCGTCTCTTGGTCCTTGCACACAATCTCGTTCCTACACTTTTTGAGTATCATACCGCCTTTTGGCGGAGGAGCTCTGAACAGTCGATAATCAAACGCCATACAGTAAATTTAAGATGATTTGTACACGCTCTATTGGAAACTTTGAAGTAAGTAAAGAAATCGACAAACCTGGATCTGAAGGCGAAGAGACTTTTGGCGATAGTCCAACATTATTAATTCTATTAAAAAATATGCCAGGTAAATTTCAATCAATCGACTGTTTTGTTTGTCTACTGGTGTTTGTGTGCGAAAAGATTAATATTTTTCTCTTTCTTTTACAAGTTTCTCTCTGTTCTTCTCTGCTGACAAGTAAGTGGAGTGTGAAAGCCATTTTCTCTGAAAACAAACAAATTGGTGTCCGTAATGTCACCCGCCCAGAGGTGCTGTGGCCCAATAGTTTGTGGACAGGATTCTTCATCGTGTCTTCCGGTTTCTAGCCCTGGCTGGGGACATAGTGTTGTGTTCTTGGGCAATACACTTTGCTCTCACAGTGTCTCACTCCACCCAGGTGTATAAACGGGGTACCGGCGAATATAAAATGCTCGAGGGTAATCTTGCGATGGACTAGCATCCCACCCAGGGGGTAAGATGGAGTAAAAATACCCTAAGTTGCCTCATAATGCGAAAATTGGCTATAAGGCCCGTTGGGCCAATAGGCTCGAGGGCATACTTAACCTCTCCATCTCATCGAGTTTCCAACGAGAACTTGCAAAAGAACAATCATAAAGACCAAAATACTAGGTCAGATAGAAACGGTAATTACACACTGTCCTCTGCTGGATTTATATCTTACTTTTGCCACCTAACTTTGATACTGAGAGACCTCGGTTCACTGTTGTGGACAGAACAAGATGTTACATGTAACTGTACGCGTACCGAGTGAGAGAAAGTGTTAATGATCACTTTCACTCCTATTGCATTGCTTAAAACTGCAAAAAGCTCTCACGTCCTCCTGATGTAAGCCCATAGTTACGTTAAGATTTAGTTCTTCAAAAAACCAGTAAATTTCTACCAAAGGTTAACACCTTTGCTGTAAAGCTGTTGATATCCGTTTAAAATCATTTGATAACCGTCGGTTTTATGTCATTATGATTACAGTGTAGTTGATCATCGTGGTCAACATTGTGTAGGTTGCTCTTATATGACTCTAAGATTCTTTCCAAATATAAACTTCACTGTTTTTGAAACTCAAAATTTCGTCCGATTATACGCACCACCTTTCCCTCCCATTAAAAACGCAGAGTGTACAAAATAAACCCTCTCGCGTTATTAATAGAATTTTTGAGTTACTTGTGACTAACTTCATTTTTTTTTCCGCGACAGCTTAAAAATGAATAATTTTAGTGGTCTACACACTCAATTTTAAAACTAAGGTGATTCCAGGTTATTGTCCTGTGGGAGACTTTGGATGTAGTAATGTGGTATGAACAGAAAGAGAGAAAATGGAATTGCAGATCAAGAGAAGACGCCGGGGTTGGCTGGGTCACACTTTGCGCAAACCAAATACCAATACCACCTAGCAGGCCTTGAGATGGAGCCCACAGGATAAGCGGAAGAGAGGCAGGCCATGGAACAGCTGGCGATGGTCAATGGAGGGGGAGATGAGGGAGGCAGGCTTCAACTGGCAACAGTTGGAGAGACAGTCACAAGACAGGGGGATGGAGAGACTTCCTTAAGGACCTACGTCCCCCAAAGGGTGAAAGGGTTTAAGTCAAGTACGTCAACGGGGGATGAACCCTGACCACACCACACAGGTAGAACATTTTGTTATCTACCCTTAGGGTTGCAGAACAGTTTAATCTATCCGAGATCAAGCTAAAAACTTAATTACCTTGGTCATAGAAAATAAGGAGAGTGAAATTTAAAATAAAGTAATATTTCATATTTTTCCAATTTCTAGCGTACCTTCCAATACAATTCAAAGTTTCGGACTGATAAGACCGTATTCAAAATCAATGGAGGTAAAAACTGGCTTTGCTCGCACGAGACCAAGCCACCCAACCCCAGGGGGATCACCAAGCTACTGGAGCACACTCTTCTCCAAGATATGTCGGCTATCAGCTCGATTAAGCAGAGAAACTCTCAGACTGACGATGGAAGGGAAATACGCACCACCTCACTGGATCGAAACAAATACAAGAAGCTGATTGGTACTCGGACCATCTTGCAAACCAACAATAACAAAGGAGGAATCAATGTCGCTTTAGGCACCGTTAAACTCTCCAAAGAAATGGTATCATTGCCAACGACGGAAACTGTCATAAATCATCTACGTCACAATACGCGCGACATGTAATTCTAGTTCATCTACAATAAAATGAATCAGATGTTATTCAAGTGTTCACGTCGTAACAATAGTTGTAACATTGTGGTGGCCCCGACATGACTTAAACATGCAAGGCTTCTGATTCACTTTATTGACACAAACAATTGCAACTGGTGCGATTCCATAATTGGGTTTGTTACAGGAGGTGTATGATGACTCCAATGTGAGCGGCAACGATACCAAGGCAGCCAACCCTAAGTGAGCGGAACGCCAGTTTTCAAGCAGGATCGCGTTCCAGAAAGACGCAATATAGAAGGGCTTTCTAATTATAATGATATGAGGGAAGTGCTTTATACTCCTTGAAATGTCAAGAGGTTTGATTTTTAGAAACAGCATCAGCTAAAATAGCGAGTGATGTCGGAAATTTTAAGATTAAAGATTGAATAAACAAGAGGCAAATGAAATCTCACATCATACCAATATACGTCCTTTGTACTGAATGCGAAGAAGGAAAAAAAACTTCTGTCGAAGATATGAATATATCACGAAGAGCACCGTCATAACAAACTGAAGTTCCCGGGCAACGCCAACATTTTGACTGTATGTAACAGTAACTTGACGAACAAAATGGCCCTCACTTGGCGATTAAACACACCTGGCCTTTTACGTCCTGAAATCTACTGAATTAGGAGATCTTAAGCTTTCGATTATTCACCTCAAAACACTCTTAACTACACATCGATATTGCTTGACAAAAATCACTTGTTATAATTCACTACAATAATATTCACATTGAACTCACAATGTCCTTGTTGACAAATCCTTGACTTCTACACCCTCGTTAAAGCTTCATGGATCCCTTGACCGCCTCGATAACTTGTCCTAATTTTAAGGACAACCAAAAATTGTCAACAGAAGGAAGGTTATTAAATACTTTTTGTCCTGAGAATGGCTTCAACTAAGCTACAAGGCTAGACTTTTATGCTTCAAGAACCTGCGATAACAGAATCCACAAAACGGGTGGCTCTGACAGGTTTAACAAGTGCATGACATCAAATAATCACTTGTGCGTTACCTTGGTAACTGGTGTCCATCACATTTATAAAAAGATAATTGACTTGAACCGGGGATTCATCTCACTAGCATTCTTGGATATCACGAAACTATCAAGGTTTTCACGATGGCCAATCAAGCGCAGCGATTTTTTAAATCTACACGACGTCGCCCGGTTGTGAAGTTGTTTAATTAAAGGTGTGGCGGACTTAAAGTTCATAACAGATAGTTATTCACGGACTCGGCAAATCACTTTTTGTAGAAGTGCCGTTAAGATTGGTGAACTTGAAAAGGATCCATTAATTCATAACAGGATGGCGAAAAATGGAGTCAAGCAAAATCAAAAGGAGGAATTTTCCTGTGAGAAACGCAATCTTGAAGACTTTGCCAAGATTAGAAACGTAAGGTACAGTTTACTAAGAAGAACATAATTTTGACTTGATGATATATTTGATTCTTAATTTGTTAAAGCTAGAATGCAATTTTCTTGGTGATTCAGGATTAAGTTTGATTCTTTTCTCGGTCTAAATGGCAACTATTCGGAACTGATAGAGAGAATCTTTCAACCTTTTGCAAAATGCAAAGGTAAATTCCTTTTACTTGTCTGGATGCATCATGTTTCTTATCGCACTAGCCAAGAGAATTTGATCACAATCTGATAAGAAGTTTATTCTACCCTTGATGATCGTTTCCATAATTCTCACGCATTTAATAGATTTAGTTTTCATGATATTTGTTTCAAAGGAAAGTAGTTCTTGATCATTGTTAGTGCTGAAATTGAAAACATATCATCTCGCTGAGCAAGATATGGAAAACGGACCAATCTTAGTTTTATTTGGGTTTCATAGACAACGATCAATTTTGGCAAGACAAATTTGTGTTATCATTTTAACCGGTACGTTAATCACCAAAAATACCCCCAAAATATAATTGCGATTCTTATAATATCTATGATACGTTTTCTAGACAACCATGATTCCCTGGCTGAGCAATTTTTTTGATATTTCTTTCTTTTATTCAGAGCCATAAAAATGAGTGGATAAACTGACCGTGCGGAGACTGGGCCCGCAAGATTTTGGCGTCGTCCAAGGCGGGTGGCGGGTGAAAAAGCCGGGAAAATGAATTAGCCCATTCCATAACATGATCTGGAACCCGGTGTGCTTACTCGGAGATAAACAACAAAGGTCTGTATAAAAACTATCGTATTATGAATTCTGGGTATCTTTGTAAAAGTACAATTTTGTTTAAATTTAACACCATAGAATAGAAACAGAAACGTCTAACTAAAACCATTTTCCTTCAGGTCTCAATAACTGAGGCAGCCCATTTACTTTTAGTTTAAAGTTTAATATAAGGCTTCTTTCCTACACTGGTGTTGAGAGACAATTCGTTGTGTCCACAACACATGATGGATATATTGAAAGTCTTACTAAACTAATAATTTTTTTTTTGCTAAAATCGATTTGTTCAACATTAACTCGGTGGGAGGAACGGTGGCCTTACGGTTTCTGCGGCAGATTCCCTTCACTCAGTACAAATGGCTGGAGAAACCTCTAATACTGGGGAGTAATCTGCTACTACTAGCAACCCATCTAGACGGAAGGGGGAAGAAATACTCCCAGGTCGTTTTGCGCCGAGAGCTACAAACCAAATGGGCTTTAATGGCTTACAGTTAGTTTACCTTCAGAGAATGCTTTTTTACTTTTAGGTAACGACTTTTTATAAATCTGACGCGACGTAGCGAGACAGACGGATGAAACAAACAAACTTGGATTCAGTTTCGATTGACGCCTCACGACGAAAATTATCAGCAGCCAGTAACTGACTAGAGTGTTTGAATGACTTGATTCAATAACCAGACAAACTTCTTGGACAGACCTGACAGTAAACGATCAACAGACACACGCACACTTACTTCTGAGTTAAAGTTAATGAGACGACGCTACAGAGGACGAAACTGAGGAAACGCAGATACGTATAACACTTGTCATGTAGTTCTGACGCGCACTACGTTTGGTGCAGCAATTTGCCCGAGCTGTGGGAATTGGGCATTCCTGTTTACCACCCTGAAGGATATGATTTTAAACTTGTTTTTGTCTGAAAAAGTTTAAAAAAATGATTTTCGCGATCTATTCCAGAATAGGGTGTGACTTTTACCAGGAAGTAAAAGGCAAAAATTAGTTAATTGGCGTGACATACTTTATAGTGAATTACCCAGAGAAAGACACAACACCCGCCTTAGTAGTGACACGTGGTATTGAAATGAATCATATCCCTTAGCTAGCCAGAAGTAATTTGCAGTTTTAAAAACCGAGTTGCACACGATTCCCAACCAGGAGTTCCTGTATCTTCGGGCAATTTGCTTATAAGATCGTATAAACTGGGGAACATTTTGCAGTGTTCACCGGTTTGCAGAGAAAATGTATGGTAACTTATACGTTTCTTTAATTGATTAAGTGGTATGTGTTATACCAACTACTTACGTTTTATTGTCCTGTTTGTTTTGTGTTGTGACCTCCGTTTAGAATAAACTTGTAGTTAAACGTGTGTATGAATGTGTTGTGTACTGTATAAATGTTTGTGGTTGTTGCTCTGTGTCTAGTGACGTGTGTGTATGTATACCTGCCAAACGTGTCCCAAGTTTCTTTCTTTTCGTCAGTTTACCACGCAATCTTCACCGAGGAAAATTACCTCGGTTATAGTTTTATATTCTTCCATCACATGACGTGCAATTTTTATGTGCTTTATATCAATGCCAATTTATTTCACATGGGTCATTTCACATAGCTATAGTGCGCATTACTTTTGATAGCTATTTTCATCTTAGAATACTAGCGGGTTAAAGTCCACTTCAGGTCTGTGTTCTCTATCTCCTCAAACGGTGCTCATATTTTTCATTGTCTTTAAGTTCGGCGTTAATCTTGTGATGATGTTAAAAATTGCTGTGTATGTCTTCTATTAGTGCTCATGTTTTATAACTTCCTATTGTGTCCTGTGGCGTGTCTTGTACCTTGTGGCGGTGTCTATAGTGTTGCCGGACGTCTCGTACAAGTTTCGTGTTTTTACTGTTTGTGTTTCATGTTTTTAATGTCTTTGTGTCCTGTGTCATTGTTGTCTTATGTTGATAATTATGTTGTTTTTGTCTTGTGTCAGTGTTTCATATTTTTGATGACTTTGTGTCCTGTGTCATTGTTGTCTTGTGTCGATAATTATATTGTTTTTAAGTATTGTGTCAGTGTTTCATGTTTTTAATATCTGTGTGTCCTGTGTCACTGTTGCGTTGTGTTGATAATTATGTTGTTTTTTACGTCTTGTGTCAGTATTTCATGTTTTTAATGTCTTTATGTCCTGTGTCATTGTTGTCGTGTGTCCATAATTATGTTGTTTTTATGTCTTGTGTCAGTGTT